AATAAGCCTTGAGCATACCTTTGTTGAGAGATTGTGATTCTCTCATATTCTTGTTTGTTCTTTCTTTTCCAGTACAAGACCCCCGCAAGATTTCTCATTCCTTTCTCCATGATTAGGAGAGTACACCAACAGCAAACTTTGAACACCATCATGACTAGTATAACTTTGATCATCAACACTTCTGTGGAGAGTTTCATTCCACCTTTATACAATGATCATCATCAACAAAAAAAACATCCAGAATCTTTTGGTTTGTTATGTTCATGGCAGATATTGCATATCAAAATAATTATTCAAATAAAATACTAAATACTATAAGCCAACAACTAAATAAAGTTGAAAATAATCAAAATAATAAAGAAAAAAAATGTCACATCTCATGATGGCACATCTACATCTACTCCACTAAACACTTGAGTAGAGTGACCGACATTTGTCTTTCATCATGAGTAATTATTGGACTTGAAACCGGCACGTTTCCGTCATCTTGAGCAATTATTGAATTTGAAATTGGTTGAAGAGCCATCGACATATAGAATCTCCTTTTCTAAAGTCTTTTGTCTTCTCTTGAAAATAATTGAATTCTTTAACTTTAACGTCTTCTTCAAACTATAATCATTTCTTCTTTTTGAATAAAATATCTTCTTTTTGGAGTCTTCTAATAATGAATAACCTGCAATAATTTTGAATAGATAATGATTTGAACAAGATGTTATCGGAAATACCAAATGAGTTATGCTATTTATGTTAATGAATGCGTACTGGAAATGAGTTTGTTCCATAAGAAAATGAAAATTTATAGAATATTTGAACAAACATTATTTTCAAAATTTTCTTTTATTCTTTTTATTTTATTTTGAATAAATGAACTTGATAAATCCTTAGAGATTCTTAGACTATTTATTTCATCATTTAAGAATTTTACTTGATTAATTTTATTATTTAAATTATTTAGCTCACTATGAACAATTGGACTATCAAACTTGAAAAATATTTCTCTAATCAAATCTCTTATAAAGATTTAACTTATGGTGAACTCATTAGTTATGTCAATAAGGAAGGTTTATCAATATGTTAGTCAAAGAATGTTATATGAATATCATTTTGATCAATATATTCTCTCCATGATAATTGATGTCTAAGTTCTTTATTTGAATCATTAACAAAATTATAATAATATTCTCGTTTTTCTTTATTACGATCAGCATAGAATTCTTTGAAAAGATATTGCATATTAACTGTTGATTGAGACATTTTTTAGCAAATTATTAATCTATTTGACCAATATCTAATTTCTTTTATTTTAGATTTTATAATTTCTTTTACTATTTCTATATCTTTTTTAACTAAATTTATATTTATTTTTGCTTGTTCTAGTTCTTTGATTAGAGGGATATTTGAGATAAAATA